CTCTGCCTCCCACGCTGGAGTTCAGTGGCGTGATCTCGGCTCACTGCAACTTCCGCCTCCTGGCTTCAAGCAATTTTCTTGTCTCACCTCTGGAGTAGCTGGGATTACAGGTGTGTGCCACCATGTCCCACTAATTTTTGTGTTATTAGTAGAGACAGGGTGTCATTATGTTGGCCAGGCTGATCTCAAACTCCTGACCTCAGGTGATCTGCCCACCTCTCAAAGTGCTGGGATTTCAGGCTGAGTCACCATGCCCGGCTTCATTGATTCTTAAAGCAGGAAGGGTCTCACATCTCTCTTCCAGTATAATAGAGCTTCTGAGGGTAGCTGCCTTCATTGTCTATAGGAGGAGGCCCCACCCCCTAAATGGTTTTGATCATATTCTTTCTGAACATTAAAGCAAGTGGCTCACGCTTAAATTGCAGCTACCTTGATTATCTCCAGAGGAAGAGTGGCCTTTAATACTGCAAAAGTTTGTCGTCTTTATTATTATTTTTGAGACAGAATATTGCTCAGCCACCCAGCTGCAGTGCAGTGGCATGATCAGCTCAGTGCAACTCTGCCTCCTGGGCTGGAGCGATTCTCATGCCTCAGTAGCTGGGAATACAGGTGTGCACCACCACACCTGGCTAATTTTTGCATTTTTAGTAAAGATGGGGTGACACCATGTTGGCCAGGCTGGTCTTGAACTTCTGACCTCCTCCCACCTTGGCTTCCCAAAGTGCTGAGATTACAGGCATGAACCACCGTGCCTGGCCGTTTATCCTCTCAAGGATGGTCAGGGTGACATTTTGGTGTCTTTCTCTCTAGTCCTGAGAAAGCATAAGTTATATCTTTAGTGGGACTTCTTACCATAGGATTAATAATAGTATTTACCTTAGAAGATTATAATTAGAAAGAAATGACGTAATACTTGTAATAAACTAGCATGGTGTTCACATTTGTTGGTTTTAATTATTACACTGATAATTCTGGTGGGAATTAAGCACATCATTATAATCACAGTGAACTCAAAGTAAGAATCAGAAATCCATGGTAACCTTGAGGGCCATCAAAAGTCATAGATACCGTGCACAGCTTTCCGATTTTTCTAGTCTTTTTCTTGCTCCTTCCCCTACTTTCCCTGGAGTTTGGTCCCCTATGATTTAGAACTACTAGTAGGGTGACCAGTCCTATTAGCTGAGTTTGCATTGAGCTGAGGGATTCTTGGAAGGAACGTGGGACTTTTAGTGTTGACACTGAGAAAGTCTCCTGAAAACGAGGACAAGTTGGTAACCCTAATTCCAGCGGTGCTCATCATGTGCCTCAGCACTCCAGGGCCTTCTGAATTAAAGAAGCAGCCAGGCAAAGTGTCAGCTTGTCTTGGCCTAGAAGCCCAGACCTGATAATTCAGAAGAAAAGGGAAGGGGTCAGTTCTGCTCTGAACTGTGTATAAAGGGACAAAACCCCCCATGTGTATTTCAACAATGCTCTTGGAAGAAATTCAGAAGTGGTCATTTTAGGTTAGGGTAAATTCAAAAAAATGACAGAGTCAGGAAAACATTATCGCAGGGGTCAAGGATGACTCGAGCTCTGCCTACTGAACTCCTCCTTGTGCCAGTCTTGCTAATCTTATCTTCAGGGAGAGTTTTCGTTAGAAAATACCATTAAGGGTAAAACGTGGTGGCTCACACATGTAGTCCTAGCTCTTTGGGAGGCCAAGGCAGGTGAATCCCCTGAGGCCAGGAGTTTGAGACCAGCCTGGCCAACATGGTGAAACCCTGTCTTTACTAAAAATATAAAACTTACTCCTGTGTGGTGGTGCACACTTATAATACCAGCTAGTCAGGAGGCTGAGGCAGGAGAATCATTTGAATCCAGGAGGTGGAGGTTGCAGTGAACCGAGATCATATCACCGCACTCCAGCCTGTGTCTCAAAAACAAAAACCAAAACCAAAACAAAAATAGACTATTAACATTTTTTAGTTGTGAGAAGATATAAAAATTTCCATCTTAACCATTTTACGTATATAGTTCAGTCACGTCAAAGTACATTCACATTGTCATGCAACCATCACCACCATCCATCTTCAGAACCCTTTTCATCTTGCACAGTCTAAACCCTTTGCTCATTGAATAGCTCCCTATTCCCTCCCTCCCCACAGCCTCTGGCAGCCACCATCCTACTTTTTGTCTCTATGAATTTGACTGCTCTGGGTACCTCATATGACTGGTATCAGACAGTATTTGTCTTTTTGTGACTGGTTCCTGAGAAACACTTTTGAGATGACTGGTTGGAATTCGGAGCAGGTGACACCACAACTGACCCAGGCCTCTCATCTCCTTTTTCTCCTTTTTCCCTGTTCCACCAATACAACAGCTGTGGACACAAGGATCTCATCTCTGCGGTCCCTAACACAGTGGTTATCAACCTTGTTTACACATTAGAATCACCTGGGAAAGTTTTCAAACTACTCTTGCCTGAACCAGATTCCAGGCTAATTACATCAGAATCTCAGGGAGTGAGGGCTTATGTATGCATCATTTAGAAAACACCCTAGACATCTCAAATTTGCAGCAGAAATTGCTGTCCATACCAAGTTGATGAGCTGAAAAGTAGAATAACAGTGGGTAAATCAAGAGAGTTTGAAATAGATGGTCTTTAAGGTCTTTTTATATTGTAAAATATACAAAGTCATGTAGTATCTTTCTAATTCTCAACCAGCAGTGGTTGAGTGGATTCACCTACACCCGACGGGAGCTGGGCGGACAGTCTCTGGAGTGTTGCTCCCCCTGCAGTTCAGTTATATGTTACGACCACCCCACTTTAGAACCCTCTTAGTCACCCAGGTAGGCGCTGGACATTGTCATTCCCCTATCACGTGCAGTCAACAAATACTTATTAAGATGGCTCACCTTTCCTTTAAAAACACGCAAGCCAAGAGATAATGATAATTGTGCTCATTCCATTGACTTCTAAAGACCGTGAGATTTCTAAATAATTTTAAGGCCGAATGAAGGACATTGCAGGAATATTGATTCCAGCTCCGTACAAGAAATAGTTTTCTGCAGTGAGAGTGGTTTAATAGAATGAGGAGCCTTGTGAAAGTGATTCCCTTGGTTCTAGTGCTACACACTTGTATTTGGAATATTGACTTTAATGAATACCGGAGGGTAAGATTCCCAAAGTAGAAGAAACTAGACTGACTTATGAGGCCCTTCTAACTCCAAAATGCCATGAGTTTAAAGCCAGATAGTAGAAGAACGACGTAAGATGCAAGAATGACTTCTGAACTGAGAAATGCAGCAGCTCCAGAGTTCTGATTATTTCAGCTTTCAACCACTTCCCAAAGACTGAATTATTAACTGTAAAATAGCCAAAAATGAACACAAGTGGATCTTGTTATCAAGAAAATTTATTATAGCAATAAGAATCAGAACTTCTAAAGAAGATTAATTAGGGGGTTGATTATTTGCATTGCAGAATAATTCCTGACTTCATGAAATCATTTTTGGATATTAGAGTTCCTGTGAGCCTCTTAGTATGGATTTATAGGTCACCAGTCACTTAGCCAAAGTGCTTCGGAGAGTAAACTCTTAACTTTAAAGAACTAACCACGCTCTTTAGTGCTTATTTGGAAATAACAAACGTCTGAGAAGTTTATTATTTCCTGATTGCCAAGGAAAACAATATAATTTCACAGCAGGTATTTAGACCCTCCATTCGAAAACACAAAACATCCAAAAATTCAATGCAGAAATAACTACAATTTCTTGAGTACTATAATATGTCAAAATGTCATGGTGTTTAATCCTCTCATAATCCTAGTAAAGCAATATATTATTATCTCAGCTTGGTCAAGTAATTTACTCAAGAGCACTAAATTACATAAAAACCAAATTTTTCTGATTCTTTCCCTTACACCAAATTTCCCAATCAGCATCTCTCAGAACAAACTTGCTCACAGACCCCTTGGAGACCATGTGTGTTTGGGTTAATTTTTGCCCTTATTATATTTTCGATATGTGTTTCCAATGTTTAAATGTTAGATTTTATGTAAAAGTCTGGATGTCCTAGCTGTCTTAAAGAATCAGAAGGTCTGGAAGCCCTGTCCCTGCAGTCCTGATGGTGACAGGCTGGCTGGGTCCTACCTCAGCAGGGGCTTAAGTGCTGCATATTGTGCTGGTTCTCACCCCTCTGTGTTGCATCCACCAAAGGAAAGCGAGTGTCATCGGGGATTTATCCTATTCCATCCAACCCTCATTGCTTACATTGTTATCTTCCTGGTACCTGTTTTCACTGCATTTGCAACCCCAAATAAAATCTCTCTTCCACTTTCCTTGCCCTAATTGAGATCCCAAATGCTCTGGTTCTGTATGTCTCCAACTCATTTTTGCATTGTTCTCATAAAAGTAGTTGGGCTTAAGGAATATTGATCTTAAAGTTGTTCTGCACACAAGTAATTCTATTGTATTGTTTCCTCACCTGTTGGGAAGTTTTTGCCTCTGCACTTAATAACCCCTGTTGTTTTCATTTCTTCCCACTCCTGGGGGGCCAGGTTTGGTTTTGCTCGTGGGGGAGGAAGAAATGCCTTCAAGTCATCTCTGGGATGACCATTGAGCTATGACCAGTAAGCTGGGACCACTGAGCTGGTGGAATGGCCTTAGTGAGTAACAGACTGCAGTGATGTGTCAGCTTTCTTATGGCACAGGAACAACCAAATCTCTTATATTTCAGTGGCCTGGTTCCCAATAGACCCTGCAGGCCCTACAGGTCATCTTCCCCAGCTGCCCCTTGCTTCACACCACCACCTTCCACCCCATAATATTATAGAAAGACACCTAGTCAGACAAAATGATACAACTTAATTTTATTAGGACAAGGTTGGTGGGCACTGGAGTGGCACCTTCCGGGGCCAGGACAGGCACTGGGGAGGGGTCACAGGATGCCACGCGGGCACCTAGAAGCCACAGCTGCCCTCCACAGTGCGGCACTGCACCATGCGCAGGAATGTCTCAACCATGTCCATGTCCTTCCTGAAGCAGTGGAGCAGCCCGTAGTTCTTGAGCAGTGTGTCATCGTTCTGTGAGTGTGTGTCAAACTTGCTGTAGGTCTGCTTGAAGATCTGCCCAGTCCGGGGGCTGCCATCTTCCAGCCTCTGCAAAGTGAAGGAAGAGAAGGAGAGGCTGAGCGCTTGGTCACTGTTCCCTCCCTCCCTCTCTCATTCATTCATTTTCCTCCCTCCCCTTCAGGGTGTAGAGAAAGACCTGGAGGATTCACCAGGGGAAATGAAGACTAAGGTGAGTTCTCTTGGGTCAGGGCCTGACTGCTAAAAAGAGAGCAGCAGTGTTTCTCTCCCCCAGCCCTTGAAGCCAGTGGGGTTCCAGGATTTGGGACCCCTGGCGCCATCCTCACCCACATCAACGTTTCGATGCCTTCCTCTAGGTCCGTTAGGATGTCATGGACGTCGCTGTCCGAGGTGCGATGCACCAGGTTGTTGGCAAACACACTACTGAGGAACTGCACGGGCTCCAGCCACGACTGGATGAGCAGCAGGGAGATGCGGAGCAGCTCTAGGTTCTGCAGGGGAAGGACCGGCAGTGGCTGTGCTGCCCGGGGGCTCTGACCACAGGCCTCCCCCATCCCTGCCTTGGGGAGAAGGTATCCACTCACGGATTTCTGCTGCGTTTCCTCCAAGTTGGAGGGTGTGGGAATAGAGTCTGCGAAGCAGAAGGAGGCCTGGGGGTTCTCCATGATCGAATGCTTCTTTTCCTTTGGGATATAGGCTTCTTCCTAGGAGAAGGACCCCCCCACCAAGAGGGACTGCTGGTCTCTATGCTGGAGACCAGCTCCCATTGTTACTTCTCTGAGAACCTCGCTCAGTGTATGCTCATCTGTCGGCATTTTCGCTTCAGAAAACAACCCTGAGCTCCTTAGTCTCCTCCCACGACTTCCCGGGGGGGGGGAAGTCACCCCTTCTTGCCACCCCTGACATGCACCCATTCCCCAAGAGCTTACAAACTCCTGGTAGGTGTCAAAGGCCAGTTGGTGCAGGCGATGGGCTTGGATCATAGCGTGGTCAAAAAGCCTGGATAAGGGTACGCTTGGGACCCTACCAGCCTCTTGAAGCCAAGGCAGGCAGAGGAGGGCAAAAACCAGGAGCAGGGATGTCCGGGAGCCTGGGGAGAAACCGGAGGGCAACGGAGGGAGCCAGAGAGCAAGAGGCCAATGCTCTCCCTGCCCCAGGAGCTGTTTGTTTTTCTCTCTCCATCCCTCCAGGGACCAGGAACATTGTGATATTGGCCAAATATCTGGGCTTAGATGGCGATACTCACATTCAGAAGCCCCAAACCTGAGGGTTAGTGCCCCCGTCCCATCTACAGGGCTCAGCCTCTTCCTTCGGGACACATCGTGCAGAAATGGATTTTAGGGGTGCTTACCTGCAGCCATTGCAGCTAGGTGGGCTGTCCACAGGACCCTGAGTGGTTCGGGGAGTTGGGCCTTGGGATCCTGGAGCTGGTCTCTTGTGGGCCCTTTTTATACCCTGGCCCCTTATCTCTTGCTGCTTGACCCCACCTATTTCTCTGTACGTTTACGCATGGGGCCACTGACATGCCTGTGCTAGTGGCTAATTTAGAAACTCCTCCCACACATGCTGGGATCATGCCCCCTGGCTTGTCATGTTTCCCTTCCCACCGTCACCAACACTGTGAGGGTTGTGGAGAGGGTCAGCCAGCGATACCACCCAACTTGTCCTCTCTTTAAGGGTCATGTGGGTGTCCTCTGGCAGCACGCCATGGTGGCCAACCTGAACGTGGGGAAGGATGTCAGGATAGCCAGTCCTTGAGACCCCTACAGACCCCATCCCACTCTCTATCCTATCCCTTTCCTTCGCCCCCATGTTTCCCCTCCACACAGCAGAGAGAATGTGTGTGTTGGGAAAAGGGCCCAAGCGCAGGCAATAGATTGTGGGGGTTCTGGGCACCATTCAGTCTTCAATTGCACTTTTGCTGATTCCTTCCGGGCCCGTCTGAGGCAGCTGGATGCAGTGCTAACACTGACCACTAGAGGGAACCAACCCCACACTTTGCTCTCCCCTTTCCCTGAGTCTTGGGGGCTCCCCCAGGTCCCTGGGGAGGAAGAACCCAGACTCGAGGTATTGCCCAGCTCCTTGGACCTGCAGCAGAGATACAAACCAAGAAACAGAAATCCCGGGGACAGACATGGACCACAAGCGCTTCGTCTATGCCCTGAAATCATCAGAGTACCTGAAAGTTGTAAGAACTCTTGAAGGTTTGAATCTCTTCCCCAGCTTTGGAACTCAGAACAGGTCACGTGGAAAGAACAGGTCACGCGGAAAGATGCCCTGGATAAAAAAAAAAAAAAAAAGTCCTTTCTCCAGAACAGATAGTGTGGTGCTACTCAGTTATTTAGTTATTTTAGTTTCTTTATTTCAGTTTTATTTATTTTATTTTCTTTGAGATGGAGTCTCATTCTGTTGCCCAGTCTGGAGTGCAATGGCATGATCTTGCCTCATTGCAACCTTCACCTCCTGGGTTCAAGTGATTCTCCCTCCTCAGCCTCCCTAGTAGCTGGGATTACAGGCGCCCACCACTATGCCAGGCACTTTGTACTTTTAGTAGAGATGGGGTTTCAGTATGTTGGCCAGGCTGGTCTCAAACTCTTGAGTTTAGGTGATCCACCCTCCCTGGCCTTCCAAAATACTGAGATCACTGGCGCAAACCACCGCTCCCAACCCAGTTATTTCAGCTTCTAAATCCCTCTGAGTGCAGGGATTCTGCCCACAATACAAGGGGCCTTTTGCCTCATTTTGTCTTTCCATAAGGGGCAGCTTGTTCTTTCTCTATTCTCAGGTGAGAATGGCCCAGTGGCATGGGGTGCCTTGTAGAAACCTCACAGCAGGACAAGGCGAAGGCAGAGAAGGCCAGGACTGAGCCTCCTGTCTCCTGGTGCCCAGAGTTGGGGCTATTTCAATACCATCTGGGGGTCACAAGCATCAGATGCCCCCAAAGGTGAGAGCAGGAAAGAACATCCTCACGGGCACTGAAATCATCCCCCGCTGAATTTAAGAGCATCTAGCACTTGACGCTGTGGAAACACAAGCAAGGAAACAAGCAAACGCTTCTAGAAGTGGTTGGCTGTGGTGTTGGCAACCAACATTGAAAACCCACAGCCCTGTGGCCCAGGATGTGAATACTGGGGCCCTGCCGTCTCCCGTCTTTCAGAGCAGAAGACAGACCTCCTTTTTCTGCCGTCATTCCCGAAGCGTTACCTGACCAGCAGCCCAGACTCATCATCTGCTGGGAGGGCCCTGGGCTGTGGACTGTTTTCCAGGCAGGGCTGCAGGAGGATCCAAGAGGGGTGTCATCAATGATACCAGTTCTGAGAAAGCTGGGGCCAAGGGAGGGTGGAGACACCACTTTCCCCATTCTCCTTCCAGCACCAGCAAAGAGGAGGAGCCAGGTGGGAATGGAGGAGAGTCCCTGAGCTCCACGTAGCTTCTGCCTCCCCCACCATCCTTCCTCCAATGTGAACTGGGACAGACGGCACCCCATGACAGGGTCTTTTAGCCAGTGTTGGGGACTTAGATGTGGATTTTCGGCCATGGAAGAAGTCGGAATGAACCCTGGCAGGAGCCCTAACTGGGGATCACTCCACAACTCCGCAGATAGGCACAGGGGTGGCGAGGCTTCCCAGACAGGTTACTGCCAGGAACACGTGGGAGCAGCCAGGGCAGGGGAGTGTCTCCTCTCATCTATCCGTTTGTTTTACCACAGAGTTATGGTGACTCAGAGGACTCCAGGGACCCCTGGGGAAACAACTTTACAAAGGATTACTACGGCAACCATGGACCAGAGGGAAGAGCTGAGCCCCACAGGTGTGGGTAGAAGTCGGTGATCGTTTTCTCTAGTCTAGATTTTCCCAGGGCCTTGAGCAATGGAGACCTTGTCCGTCATTCATTGCTAGTAAAAAATCAACATTGAATTAGACTTGGATTTTCCTGACAGTCCTGGGAAGTGGCCCACTGTTGGGGCATCTCTTGGGGCCAGATCCCTCGCTCCTGCAGGCTGAGAGACTACCCAACAAGGGCCTCTTCATGGTCAGTCAGGAGAGGCTGGGTTGCCCACCACTGGTTTCAGCTTCAAAAGGCTCAGGATAGGCCGGGCATGGTGGCTTACACCTGTAATCCCTCCACTTTGGGAGGCCAAGGTGGGTGGATCATGAGGTCAGGAGTTCAAGACCAACCTGGCCAAGATGGCGAAATCACGTCTGTATTAAAAATACAAAAATTAGCCGGGCATGGCGGCAGGCCCCTGTAATCCCAGCTACTCAGGAGGCTGAGGCAGGAAATTGCTTGAACCCGCGAGGTGGAGGTTGCAGGGAGCCGAGATCACGCTACTGCACTCCAGCCTTGGAGACAGAGTGAGACTCTGTATCAAAAACAAAAACAAAAACAAAAGCTCAGGATACTCTCACAGGCATCTTGGTTCTTTTAAAGAACCTCCCTTTATAATTTAGGATTAATGAATTTCTCTGTGTGTTTGGAAGCCCTTCCTATGTCCAACCTTGACTAACTTTAGGGTTCTGTGTGCCTACTGTGGGAAGTCGCAGATCTGCTGTTGATCCTAAAGTGGTGTCTTTCAGGCTTTGAGATCTCCTGTTAGGTTCAAGACTGTGGGGTTGAGGACAATCACATTTTTCGAAGCCATACTCACCAGGTCTTAGGGATCGCCTCCGAGGGACTAGTGGGTGCTCCTTCCACTCCCACTTTGATGATTTGTGGCGCACACTTCCCACCTGCAGCTCTGTTCTTTCTTCCTTGAGATCAGAGGCTGGTTATCGTACTGGGACATACTCTACCTCCTTTTGGCTTCTAATGCCCTTTCTCTAAGTTTGGTACCGAGTCAATTACTCAGTTCATTGGATTAAGGTCTTCAGGGAATATTATGTGGGGATTCCCAAGGGCTCTCCTAGGGGAGGTGAGGAAGATGATCAATACTTCTGCGTGTCCACCATGTGCTTGGGACTCTACTGAGCCATAGGGATGTGAGTGAGGATACTGAGACTCAAAGAGATCAGATGGCTTGCCTGGAGCTCTCCCAGTTCCTAAGTGATGCCTATCCAAGGCCCCTGGGCTTTCCTTCCATGCCAAGATCTTTAGAAACCTCATCTAGTAAAGATGGTGGCACTACTAGGCATGGACAGAACTTGCCTCAGTGCAAAGCTAGCAGGACAGGGGTCAAGTCCCTGCACAGAGGATGTTCCATGAAGATGGGGGGAATTGAACACAAGGAATTTCAGCTGCGGAATAAGGTGTCCATAGGCATTAAGGAAAGTGGTGGAAAACAACCACCCAGTGTAGCTCGGTTTAGTGAACCGAGGCACATCATGCTGCATATTTGTATTGCACGTTTCAGTGTACATCGTGTTTCACTTCCTGTATCTCGTTGGACCCTTAAGCTAGCCACATGATGTGGCCGGGGGGTTCAGGCACTGGCAGGGGGGTTCGGGCACAGAGGGAGGGTTCAGGCACGGAGAAAGGGCCTCGGAAGGCTTGGGGAGGAGAGGGGCAGGCACTGTTGTGTGTTGATGGGGTATTGTTTGCACTGGTTGATGATCTCTGAACAACCAAGAAGTACATAACGATCTACCTAACCGGACGTGCTAAGTAATTTCACTTTGGGGATGATTCTCCAGGGAGACAATCCATTGATAGAGAAGTGAAAAGCATCAAGATGTGTCTAGTAGTTGTAGGAAGTCTGGGGTGCTTTCCTGATGGGGTGTCCTCAGCCGGAAATAGCCTCTCTCCTTCCTTTGACCTGCCCTGTGGCTATTTGCAGATATTTTGTTCCTCTTACCAGATTGTAAGCTCTTTGAGGCTGGATTTCTGCCTTTCGTCCATTCATTCATTCACTCATTCTTCTATTCATGCATTCACTGATTCCACAAGTTGTTGTTGCCTATAATATGTACTAGAGATTGCACCAGGCAGATGGGCATATCTAGATAAACAAAAAACATGATCCTTTCTCTTCTGGAGCTAACAATCTACTGGCCGCAGAGATAATAGCAAAAAAGTAAATATAAAATGGTAAAAATAGAAATTTCGAATGGAGAACAGTCCCATGAGGAAAATAGGTAAGATATGGAGGGAGAGAATAAGCCAGAAGGTGATGGGACGAGGCAGCTGGCACAGCCCCAGGCCCAGGAATTCAACAAGCATCTAGTGAGTGGACCCAGCACATGAGAGGACAGTGCCAAGCAAAGAAGTCAAATGTCTACTGGGCTGGGCATGGCCAGGTTGCCCATGCTGTGTTGGATGTCCTCCTGCTGGTATAATTATTTTAAAATAACAGGACAAGGAAGGGCGCCGTGGCTCATGCCTGTGATCCCAGCAATTTGGGAGGCCGAGGTGGGTGGATCACCGGAGGTCTGGAGTTGGAGACAAGCCTGGCCAACATGGTGAAACTCTGTCTCTTCCAAAAATACAAAAATTAGCTGAGCCTGGTCATGCATGTCTGGAATTCCAACAACTTGGGAGACTGAGGCAGGAGAATTGCCTGAACCCAGCAGGCGGAGGTTGCAGTGAGCCAAGATGGTGTCACTGCACTCCAGCCTGGTTCCCAATAGACCCCGCAGGCCCTACAGGTCATCTTCCCAACCTGCTGCTTGCTCCATATTACCACCCTCCTCCCCATGACATTATAGAAGGACACCTAGTCAGATAAAATGATGCAACTTAATTTTATTAGGACACATCTGGTGGGCACTGGAGTGGCACCTTCCACGGCCAGGAGTGGCAATCGGGAGGGGTCACAGGATGCCACCCAGGCATCTAGAAGCCACAGCTGCCCTCCACAGAGCGGCACTGCACGATGCGCAGGAATGTCTCGACCTTGTCCATGTCCTTCCTGAAGCAATAGAGCAGCCCGTAGTTCTTGAGCAGTGCATCATTGTTGTGTGAGTTTGTGTCAAACTTGCTGTAGGTCTGCTTGAAGATCTGTCCAGTCCGGGAGCTGCCGTCTTCCAGCCTCTGCAAAGTGAAGGAAGAGAAGGAGAGGCGGAGAGCGCTTGGTCACTGTTCCCTCCCTCTCTCATTCATTCATTTTCCTCCCTCCCCTTCAGGGTGTAGAGAAAGGCCTGGAGGATTCACCAGGGGAAATGAAGACTAAAGTGAGTTCTCTTGGGTCAGGGCCTGACTGCTAAAAAGAGGGCAGCAGTGTTTCTCTCCCCCAGCCCTCGAAGCCAGTGGGGTTCCAGGATTGGGGACCCCTGGCAGCACCCTCACCCCCATCAGTGTTTGGATGCCTTCCTCTAGGTCCTTTAGGAGGTCATAGACGTCGCTGTCCGAGGTGCCATACACCAGGCTGTTGGCAAACACACTCCTGAGGAACTGCACGGGCTCCAGCCAGGACTGGATGAGCAGCAGGGAGATGCGGAGCAGCTCTAGGTTCTGCAGGGGAAGGACACGCAGTGGCTGTGCTGCCCAGGGCCTCTGACCACAGGCCTCCCCCATCCCCGTCTTGGGGAGAAGGCATCCACTCACGGATTTCTGCTGCGTTTCCTCCCTGTTGGAGGGTGTCGGAATAGACTCTGAGAAGCAGAGGGAGGTCTGGGGGTTCTGCAGGAATGAATACTTCTGTTCCTTTGGGATATAGGCTTCTTCCTAGGAGAAGGACCACCCACCAAGATCTACGCTGGAGACCAGCTCCCATTGTTACTTTTCTGGGAACCTCACTCAGCGTATGCTCATCTGCCTGCCTTTTCGCTTCAGAAAACAACCTGAGCTCCTTAGTCTCCTCCCCTTACTTTCCAGCGAGGGAAGTCACCCCTTCGTGCCACCTGTGATGTGCTCCCATTCCCCAAGAGCTTACAAACTCCTGGTAGGTGTCAAAGGCCAGCTGGTGCAGGCGATGGGCGCGGAGCATAGCGTTGTCAAAAAGCCTGGATAAGGGAATGGTTGGGAAGGCACTGCCCTCTTGAAGCCAGGGCAGGCAGAGCAGGGCAAAAGCCAGGAGCAGGGATGTCCGGGAGCCTGGGGAGAAACCGAAGGGCAACAGACGGAGCCGGAGAGCAAGAGGCCAGTGCTCTCCCTGCCCCAGGAGTTGTTTGTTTTTCTCTGTCCATCCCTCCAGGGACCAGGAACATTCTGAGATTGACCAAATATCTGGGCTTAGATGGCGATACTCACATTCAGAAGCCCCAAACCTGAGGGTTAGTGCCCCCGTCCCATCTACAGGGTGCCACCTCTCCCCTCGGGACACATCATGCGGAAAGGGATTTTAGGGGCGCTTACCTGCAGCCATTGCAGCTAGGTGGGCTGTCCACAGGACCCTGAGTGGTTCGGGGAGTTGGGCCTTGGGATCCTGGAGCTGGTCTCTTGTGGGCCCTTTTTATACCCTGGCCCCTTATCTCT